TCAATTGCTCCTCTTCTTCTTTCTCCCCTAACCCAAACTCCAAGCACACATTGGGAAGTGGTATGTGATTTCATTTGGTTTTTGTTTCTGCTTTATCATGGGTTGAGGATAGAAAAGCATGTCTAGTGAGAGAACAGAGGGTAAGAATGCAAATGACTACAATATATAACAGCTTCTTGATGTCTTCCGTCTGTGTACTGGGGAGATCATCTTCCTCCAAGGGGAGAACCGCTGGGCAGTGAAGGAGGGAGCCAACTTCCACTGGCCCAGCCAGTCTGACTGGAAAATCAGCCATGATCACTGTCAAAGGTGATGTGTTGCAGCCAGCAGTGCCTCCTAGCTCGCTCTGACACTGTCCCTCTATCATTGCAGATTTCGACACAATAGCAGTCCATCAACTTTTAAAAACCTGAATTTAGTAAAACTCTCTTCAAGCTTTCTAAATAATAATTTCAGTTGGAATACCAGTATAACTTATTCTTAATTAATTGATTCCTATTACCAGTTTATAGTCCACCAGAAGTTTAGGTAGGATTTGCATTTAGATATGTAAATCCATATGTATATGGATTTACATATGTATATACGTATACATATCCATATACATAAATCCATATGTATATGGATTTACATATGTATCCATATACATATACATACATATTACCATTTTGCACATATATTTAAAATATCTCGTAGTTCTCCAAGCATTCATCATGAAACATTGTTATACTCTACTTAGGTGATAATTAATATTCATATCCTTGACCCACTCTCCCGAACTAGGCTCACAGGAGTTTACACCAAGCATTTCTCTGGGTACGTAGCTCTGTTAAAACTGACCAGAGAACCTAATAATGTGGAAAGCCAACTTTTCCGAGCTTACATATAACTTTATTTCCCTATGGCAGTGGTTCTCAACTTGGGCTATATCTGCAAGTACCTAGGGAACTGCTAAAAATCTCAATACTCGGGCTGTGGCCCAGACAAATTGACTCAAGTCTCTGGGAGTAGGCCAAGACATCAGTATCTTTTAAAGGTCCCCAGTTGATTCAGATGTGCATTCACAGTTAGGAAATGCTGCTCTTGGGGCTTGTTAGGTTACTGATTTCTGAGAGTTGAATTAAGAGCACATCTGAGCTTGTCTTTTTTTTTTTTTTTTTTTGGTGAGGAAGATTGGCTCTGAGCTAACATCTGTGCCAGTCTTCCTCTATTTTATATGTGGCTACCACCACATGGCTTGATGAGCAGTGTGTCGATCTGTGCCTGGGGTTTGAACCTGTGAACCCCAGACCGCCAAAGCAGAGCGTGCAAACTTAACCACCACGCCACTGGGCCAGCCCCTCTGAGCTTGTCATTTTTCCCTTCTGGGACCTTTTTTGAAAAGCAAGAGAAAATTGTCCAACAAAAACTACTATTTTTCATTAGTGCTAAGAGTTTAGCCTTGAAATCACAGGGAGCTGTGTTTTAATATCATCTCTGCTACTTACAGAAGTATAAACATGCAACTCACTTAACTTCTCTAAACATTCAATTTCACTCGTTTCTAAGTGAAAATAATACCTCCCTTCTGGAGCTATCAGTATTAAAGGAGATAATATATATAAATTATTCCACATGATATAATATGTGACATGTATGTAACATGGTAGTAATAATTAAAATTAGGCCTTTAGGAATGTGGGATGTCTCTAGCTACAGTGATAATAGTTGAAGCAGAATATGACTGAGAAGGAGCTAAAAAGCCAGCTACAATACAGTTGTTCTTGCCTCCAAAAGAGAAGTTACCCACTTTACCACACTCACTGTGATACATTCCATTTGCTATGAAAAATGTGTTATGCCTGATTGTTTCCCAGGATGCGGTTCTTCAAGCATTGAAGAACCTTCAAGGGTTGTTAGACTGATGTCAGCTTCTTGCTGGTTGTTGGCCAGAGGCCACCCTCAGTTCTTTGTCATGTGGTTTTCACCAACATGGCAGCTTGCTTCCTCAAAACCAGCAAGAAAGAGAGTGTGCTAGCAAGATGGAAGTCACAGTCTTTTGTAACCTAATCACAGATGTGACATCCCCTCTATGCTGCCATATTCTGTAGGTTAGAAGCAAATTACTAGAAGGGAAGAAATACATAAGCTTATGAATAACAGGAGGTAGGGATCACTGAGGGCCATCTGAGAAGCTATCTGCTGCAGCACTTAACAGCACATACCCAGCCATAAAAGAAAGAAAGAGAGAAGGGTACAAGGAAAGAGAAAGAAAGGAGGAAGGTAGAGTAAGGAGGGTGGACAATGAAAGGTAGACATAAAAAAGACAAAAAAATATCTTTGCTGCACTACGTCTATATCAGGGTTCCTATATGGACACACACTTCATTCATCACATTAGCACCAAAAGCAAGAATTTCCTATTTCTTATTTAGAATAAGACAATATGGGGGTTTCTATACATCTGGAGTTAAAAGGAAACAGGATAAACAAGAATAGTAAGTTTAAGCAAGGAAAGTGTGTTTCAAATTAATTCTTCTTTTTTTAAGTTCTTTTTGTCCCCCAGCTAGCAAAGTTGTTTTCCTTTCTGTTTCAAGTTTTGGGCTTGGGTTTATTATTCTTGATGTTCTGTGGCAGGCTTATTACACAGGGAATATAGGAACTCGAACGGCATTTGCATTTGATATTCTCTGGTTGTTTCAGCTCAAATGCCAAAATTATGTTTTGGTTCTGTACATTATTATTAATGGTTGTATATTTCACTTATTGTAAAAGTGAAGTTGCAAAGTACCTTGGATCTCTCTGTTCCAGCCGCTCTATTGAGGAAACTGAGGCCCAGATGGCTTGGGAAGATCAAGGCTAAATAGTATTAGAGCCCGGAGTATAACACACATCTCTCAATTTGTAATCCATGCATTTCCTCTTCTTACCTTCTGTGTGAAAGAGCAGTCAGAATGTGAAATACTCTCCTCAAACCTGCAGGCATGAAAATTGTCATGGTTTAAATGTTTTATTAACCACTGATTTTCTGGAACCACCTAAAAATGTTGTTTTCAGTGCTTCAGCTAATGAAAAAGGAACTTTTCCAGGTCCTCTACTGTAGAATGGGTGCCTGCCTAATGAAATGTACATCCTTTTCCCTGGATTCATTTGTAACAGATCATACAGGCCCCTACACTTCAGTGCTCTGAGAGGGGTTCTTAAACGGTGACCACCCAGAGAGGGCTCACCATGTGCCCTTGGTGCGAAGGCAGTCCCTATCCATGCCCCCAAAACTCTTGTAAATCTCTTAATTCATACAAGAAAAGGAATATTTCTTAGAACAGTATGACTATGGAATTTTATTAAGAAAAAAATTCTGCCATCCCCAAATGGGTTCCCAAGGCAAAGGAGCCATCTGGTAGCTCAGGATTTCCTGAAGATACATTTGCTCATGGCCAGACTGTTCAGGGCAGCAGGTATTCTAAAAGAAGGACACATTCCCCAACCCTGAGCTTCTTCACTGCACAAATATGAGTAGTAGTGGAAGGAGGGTGGGGTCCCTGTTTCCCAGCCCTATCGTCTCTTCTTACTGTGCTTAGGATCTCTACCTCCCCCAGCCCCCACTGGAAAGGAAACTCCACAAGGACCAGGATGTTATCAGTTTTATTTACTGCTCTATCCTTGGAGGAGGGCCTGGCACAAAACAGATGTTTAATAAGTGCTTGTTGAATGGATGGCTGAATGATGGATTTGTTTAGAAGGTTTATATCATCTCATTCCTTATAAGTTTGTTGACAGAGGAAAAATAGGCATGTTTCGGTTCAGAATACCAGATATGTACCTGGAACTTAGAATTGGAAATTTCTATGTGTTTGCATGCTATTTATTTTTAAATTATGTTTTAAAGTATTTATAAAGATACTTTAAGACTGAGAGCCTCCCTATTGCCCAAGAATGAGAGTTTTAGATCAGAGAACAAATATATTAAGTTTACAGTTGAACTGAAGATTAATCTTCTAAGGAGCCAAAAAAAGAAACTTGACTGTCTCCAAAATGGCCATGGATGTCAGAAGGACAATGAGAATTGATACAAAAATCAGTTTTGCCTCCGACTTGTCTGTTGCACATCTATAACTGCAGATGTCATAGATGAAGAGGAATTTGGGCTAATATCCTAACACATGGGAGGCATTCTCTACTTCCCGAGTTAGAATTGACATGTATATGCGTAAGTTGTTTAGAGTCAGCATCTATTTAATGAATTTACTGGCTGAATCTTTTAAAAGAATGCAAACATAAGTGACTTTTTATCAAAAATCTATAAAAAGAGAAAAGGCCCGGTAGTGGATCCTGTGGTTCCCACGTCACCTCCCTTTGGCCCACCTGATGTCAGGGCAGCCATCTGTGGTGGACAGTTGCCACCATGCACATTGCTGGGGACACTTCAGTGCCTGCCTAGGTTTCTCAGAAGTCAAGCAAGGATCCTCAGCCCATGTGCAGGTGCAGCCTAGAAGTTCACGGGCGTGAACACCTCCAGAGCAACCCTCAACCAGTGGGTGATGAGAATTGGTGGATAAACACCCCAGCCTCCCATCCTTGTCTAGGACACCAGTAAGGCACACTCTATACAGCTTCTCCCGGGAGTCTCTGTGGGGTTTGGCCCCAAATGGCCACTGTAGTAACCTGCTGAATAACACACATTTTGTTAGCTATTCCCGCTCTGCTTCCCTCTCTTTCCCTCACTTCCAGTTCCAGGGGTCACCTGCCAAATAAACGACCTATACCCAAATCCTTGTCTCTAGCTCTAGTTTCTTAAATAGGCCCTAAGAAATAATGTTTGAAATAATGACAAAACAGTTTGTCCCTGGAAGCAAAGGCTGGCAGAGAAATAACTGGCAAGCAACAGCTCTGAACCTGTGACCCAGGAAAACGGCTTTTCTAAAGAAGTGGTTCTTCTTTACTGCTTTAAATATGTGTTTCGTTAGGACCATACATTACCCTCCTGATTTCATGCCTTGCCTTTTCTTTTTATTCTGCAGATTCTTCTGGGAAGCCTAAATTCACCAAGTGCCGTTCACCTGAACTAGAGACTTTTTCATGCCACTGGACAGATGGAGGTCGTCACGGTTTCAAGCGCCCAGGATCCGTGCAGCTGTTCTATATTAGAAGGTGCAGCCTGCATGCCTTTCTGACTTTCCTCTCCGTGGATTTTCTGATTAAAGTATACTGAGTTGCGTGCAGTGGTAGGAATGGAAATGATTTTTTTCGATGACCTAAACGTATTCATTCATTCATTCATTCAAAAAAAATATTAATTAAGCCATTACTATGTGTTGAGTACTATTTTAGGCACTGGAGATACAGCAGTGATTCCAAAAAGATAAGTCCCTGGTGGAGATTCGTTTCCAGTGGGGGGAGACAGACAATAAAAAATAAATTAAATGTCAGCTGGTAATATGAGTTATTAAGAAAAATAAAGCCAGAAAAACAATGAAGAGTGTCAGCACTATGTGTGAATATGTGCACATGCATGAGTGGGTGAAGGGTGAGTATGTGAAAGTGTGGGTGAGTGTGTAACGTGTGTGAGAGTGTGTGAAAGTGTGGGTGAGCATATGGAAATGCCTGAGTGTGCATGTGTAAATGTGCATTAGTGTGTGAGAGAGTGAGTATGTGAAAGTGAGGGTGAGTGTGCAGAGTGTGTGTGTAGGGAGCTTGGGTGATATTTTAAATGAGGAGGTCATAGGAGGCCTCTCTAATGTGTTGCATTATAGCAGAGACATAAATGAAGTGAGAGAGGCCACGTGAATATCTGGGGGACAGGCTGTCCGGACAAAGGAAATTGCAAGTGCAAAAGCCCTGAGGCCAACTTGGCATGTATGAGGAAAGCAGGAGGCCAGTGTGGATGTTGCAAGGTGGGAGATGGGGAAAGTGATATGAGAAGGGGGCAGAGAGTTAGCAGAGGCCACACTGTGCCAAGCCTTGTAGGCCATGGCATGGCTTTGATTTTTACTTTCTCTGCAGTGGGAAGCCATCGGGGTTTTTTGAAAAGATGTATGTTTTAAAAGACTCAGTTTGGTTTCTATGTAGAAAGTAGGCTATGTTCCTGTTAAATTAGTTACATTCAATAAGGGATTGTAATACTTTTCTACTGCATTTTTACCAGTGGTCCTATAAGATAACTGGAAGAGTGAAATAGAGATCTCTCAATATAATCACCACCCAAGTCATTTATTTCTCACCCCTTGCTTGGCATTATTTCCGTTTCTGTTTACTCTTATGTTGTACCTTTTGCTTTTTTAAATTTTAGGCTCAAACACTAGCATGTCTTCTTTTCCACCCAACCCCTAAGGAAGGCCTAAGCCAAAATGCAAGGTTAGTGGAGACCCTTTATCCTAGGTTGGTGGTGTTCATCAGTCCACGGCTGCTGCTGTCTACCCCCCAGAGGAGTGGGGAAAAAGAAGGAAGATGCAGCGAGCAGTTAGGGACATGGGCTCAGGGCCAACCAACTGGCACTTCAGCCTGGCTCCAGCCCTCGCTCGGTCAGTCATGCCGAGCAAATTAGTCGGTCTGTTCACAATTCAGCCGCATCATTTGCAAGTAGGGGATGATAGACTTTGCCTTCTGGCTTCTTGTGAGGATTTCATTAAATAATAGTACATGAAAAACATTTAGCACAGTGCTTGGCACATAGTAAGTACTTAATAAATGGTAGCTGCTATTCTTATTATTGGTAATGTAGTAGTAATTTAAAATAATAATGATACAGAATTCCAATTCCTGGACTACAAAAATGATTTTTGATTCTTTACTGTTTGTGATTATTGATATGCTCTAAGACCATTTTTAATGAAGAGTTAGGTGCTTAATTTGCAAATAACAAATATTTTGAGTTAACAACTAGGACTGGCTTTACCCACCTTCCAGGTGTGAGAGAAGTCTCTTGGATGTAGCCCAAAGGGCACACAAAGATGGAATGGTTGGGCACCAAATGCACTTTTTTTCCATTAAGCCTGACGCTGCAGAGAGGCAGGGACCAGTAGACGAAGCTGATTTGTATAAATACATTTGGACAGGAAACTATTATGTTTGATAACACTTTTGAATATCTATTGAATTGACTGTTAAATGAAGAGAGATTTTAGTAGGTTCCTTTTGCTTTTGCTTCAGCAACTTAGAAAGCTGGCTTAATCAAAACAAAGTAAGTTATTTGTACAGGCACAATTACCTAAGCTGAATAGAGAAATAGCAGAGTTGGGCCCACTTTACGAAAATGGGTTTTAACCACCCTAATATTCACCAAATTTGAACCTGATCAAAAAGATAAATCCAAAGGAATGAAGCTTTCACAAATATATATTTGTCCGTTACTCTCATCCATCAGAGCCACGTAACTCTCCTCCAGGCCTCCTTTGCACACCCCAGGCCTTTCAACATCTCTAGTCCAAACCTAGGCTCTGTGCTAACAGAGATGCCCCAGTTAATGTTACCAGGTGAAGGAAAATCTCAGACATATTCAGAAGGATGTCATTAGTTTTTGCCGTAGTGGAGTTTGGGATCCCAGGAGAAAAAATTGTCACGTCTTCAAACCTCTTAAGTACAACCTCATGATTGGTGCCAACCCAAACTTGCAAAATCAGTATTTTGTATTATTTAAATATTTATTTAATATAATTTCTCTATAAAAATATAATTATTTTGGATATCTTAGCCAAAATAGCATAAGCCGCCAGCCCAGTTTATCTGGAAAGGGTAGAAATGAAGGGGTCAGGAGTATCAGGACTAGACTGCACCAATTAGTGCACAAATGTATTAAACTTCGCATTGCCCACTCACACAGAGGACATTACAAATGCACTTTCTGACTCCTGTCATTGTTTCTTAGAATTCAGTTCCCAGGTAACTCCTGGAACTATAGAATCATGACTGCCCATCCCTGACGTGTAAATAAAACTGTGACGTGATTTCATCCAGAACCAGAACAGTGGAGGCAGGAAGTTGCAGAGAAGGGGCCAATGCACTGGACTTGCATTTTGCAGGCCTGGCCTTGGTAGCTAAAGCACAAGGGAATCTAAACACGTCAGGCTGTCAGCAAGAAAGGCCCAGAGGCAGCTGCACGCTTGGCTGGCTCTGCTCCCTGCCAGGTGAGCTGGCAGGAGAGGCAGCTAACTCAGAACAGTCTCTGCCGCCCTGTGATGGAGACCCTGCCAGATTCAGCCTCTGAGCTTGGAAGGGACTCAGCATGAATGCAAATCACAGGCACAGCAAAAGGAGGCTCTGGGGAGCCTGTCAGAGATGCTCTGCTCTCAGTTTCTTGCCTGCAAATGCCTTGTTTACAAAAGAAGTGGGCATGTGAAGACAGTTCCTAAGACTGTATCCCCCCACCTCTGCCATCGCCACACTAGCCCCCTCAACAAATTACCCTGGCCTTTTAGAAGCAAGTTTATTTTCCATGCAAGGTTGTGACGGAAATTAGAAAGGAGAAAGGGCATTGTTACTTTATTTTCTTTTTTCTAAGGAAAATGTTAAATTTTAAGCCTAAAACACATGAGCTGTATGTAATGAAGAACAGTTGCTCTTAGAACATGAATGATGTTTTATTTTTATGATTTCTCTTCCAATTGGTTGTCTTTAGATGGAAAACATTTCTTCTGCTCTTTATTCTGATTTTTATTGATAGTCTCTTTCTATAGTTCTCACTCCTATTTCACAAGATAGTTTGGAAGCAAATCTAAAGCATTTAACTCTTGAGACTAAAGGAAAGAGAGAGTAGTTCCCATAACCTGGTTTTGGTCGTCTGTATAGAAATTCAACCCAGTGAAGGCAGGCATCAGAGTATCTGTTTTGTGAGTCCATTTGGTTTTTTGGTCTAAATTTAATAGTTTAAAAATAAGTTTTAAATATTTATTTAATATAAAATTCAACTTGGGTTAATGAGGAAGGGGGTTGGGAGTTGTGTTTTGAAATAGCTATTTCTGATCCCTCATGCTTAAGATGAGTGCTTTAAGTTGTTTGTTCTGTGGAGCTAATGGATTTGGGATAATCTAAACAGGGTTTTCCTACAGTCCCCTTGGGGACCAGGGTACTGACATGCTAACATTGAGATACTGTGTGAGACACACAGAGCTAACCTCCCTATTACAAATCCAGACCTGCTAAGCACTGGCCCTCATCGCTAGGACATTTTAATACTAACTTTAATACTATCAATTATGCTAAATACATTTGTTCTCCCCTCTACTGTTATATGAAAGCCTCATTCCCTGGGCAATCTTGTTCTACCATTCTCTTTAAGGCACTCTTATTTAGTTTGAAATTCAAGATAAAATAAACCAAAATAAACCGTACTATAGTTCAATGACCCACCTATCCCTAGTTTTTTTTTATCTTTTTCCTATTAAATACATACACATACATATTGTATCCTTTCTTCCACCCTCTACCTACGTGCTTTTCCCATCACAGATGAATCTCCCTCTCATCCAAGAGTATGCAACTTTTAAGGATCTCAACCAGAATTTAAGCAACAGTTCACTGTCTCAGACCCTGGTGTTTCTGCCATGTTAATCCCAAGTTCTTTCCAACAGCTGATGAGCAGCTGTCTCAAGGACCCCCTGATACTGCACACGTTTCTTCCTAATGCCAAATAGACCAGCCTGAGAAACAGCTGTAAAGAAGGAAACATGTGTCTTCTCCCAGCTCCTTCCTCCCTTCCTTCCAGTGCCTGCCTTCCCGACAGCCTGCGACGTCCTCGTTGTCCACTATTGCCCGGCACCCATCCCCCAGAGGGATGCTCACAGACTTCCACAGTCTGGCCTGCCAGCCCCAGGCACCTTGGCTAGCACAGGGTCATTCCTACCTTCTTCTTCCTCAGCCACAGATTACCTGGTTTGATGTCTCCTTGACTTATAAACCCTCTTCTCAGCTGATAGCCTAGTGAATAACAAGGGAATAATAAATTACCCCACCCAAGTAGCAATTCTAATTTAAGAAAGTGCTTGCCTATCATTCCATTGCTTCCTGCACCCCTCACCACACTCAAGCCCATACGTCCTTACCTCAATGCCTTTGACCACTCTGTTCCCTCTCTTTCTTTCTCTATTGCCTTCTATTAAAACTTTTACCCATCCTTCCAGATTGCTAGAAACACCACCTCCATCTTGAAGCCTTCCATGAACAGCCAGAGCAATCAGTCCCTCTTCTGAACTCTTAGGGAGCCTAACAAGCACTACTTGTGAGCATTTGTTTGTAATACCGTGTTTTAGTCATTCTCCTGAGGCAAGACTAGTTCCTTAGACATATGTGCAGACTCCATGCTGTCCAGCATAGTGTTTTATATAATCAATGCTCATTAAATATCAATAGAATGAATACAAGAAACCAAAGAAAACTATTCAGATGGTAATTTCTGAGCTGAAGGTAGGGACAAATCTTATTAATCATTATATCTGCACAGCACTAGTGCCAGATATAATGCTAATATAATGCTTTTATAATAGGCACCCAAAGATGGTTTGCTGAATTCATTCATTCAGTCAGTCAGTCAGATGGGACTTTGAAGAGCTGTGTCACATTCTTTCACGTTTGCTCTGTTCCTGCTATGGTGGACTTGAGTCGGCATGATCTTTTGATTGCTCTGCATTTTTGTTCAGGTCTCGGTGGCAGCTGACCAGAGAATTTCCTTTCCCAAAACTCTGATTTCCTTCCTTGCATCTCTTTGCCATTCAAAACACATCCTGCTGTTATTTTCAGTCATCTAGGTAAATGATGCTTTCTGTAAGGTGGGATGGAGATGAATAACTCTATGGTGGAACGTTAATATGGTGATGTAGCTTTTCTGATTTCTTCAGTTTCTTCATGTGTCCATCTATCCTCCATGATTTGTTTTGTTTGTTTGTTTTTATCTGATCCAAGATATAGGGAAAGATGAGCTTGTTCTTTGTAGAGAAACCAAAAAAAGGAACTGATAGGCAAACACATTGATTCAATTCAGCTCATTTTTGTTTTCCTTTTTTTTAATACTATAATTAAATGTCCATTCCTGTTTACAAAATGGGAAAGAAAAATGCTTTCTGGGCTTGGAAAGATTTTTACATTTCTGGATTCATGCTTTTTGTCTCTTTCAGGGATGGGGAAAAAAATGGCTAGGATTTCCATATTTCATAAATGTCACCTGGATGTCCAGCATGTTTGAAATGGTCTCATGGCTCTTCATGTAATTAAGAAAAAATCAGGAGTATGGGAAGGAGTTCAAGGCATTGGGAAAACTTTCCTGAGCATAGGACAGCCTTGGGGAGATGGACACAGGATGCAGTGGTTAAGAGTAGGGTAGCCAATTTTCCACCTTAAGGCCACCCAGGCCTTAGTGTCACCAGCCTGGAGAATGCCATCAATGTGCCTCCCACCGTGAGTTGGGGAAACACCCAGGTCCAAAGACTCACTGTTGTCTGGGAACTGTATAGTTTGGGAGTTGACTCTCTGAAGTGTTTTGATAAAGGAATACTTTTAAGCCTCAGAACCCTCATCTGTAGAATGGGGATAATAAAGTACCTACCAATAAGTCACTTAATTTAGGAGCTGGCACATCCTATGCAGCCAATGAATGGATGCTTTTACTATAGGCAGAAGTACCAAATGGCCTCCTATTGCTCTGCAGACTTTGCTGATGTCCATAGATATGATACTTCTTGGAAATGGCGCCGCTAAAATACTTGCTCACAAAGTATTGGTGTTCCAATTTATTGAGTCTGACTGTCGAGCACCTTGCTTTGACTTAAGCTATGGCATGATTTTTGGAACAATTCATCCTTTTTTACCCTCCATTTCAGGAGCACTCAAGAATGGACTCAAGAATGGAAAGAATGCCCTGATTATGTTTCTGCTGGAGAAAACAGCTGTTACTTTAATTCATCTTATACCTCCATTTGGATACCCTACTGTATCAAGCTAACTAGCAATGGTGGTACTGTGGATCAAAAGTGTTTCTCTGTTGAGGAAATAGGTAAATCACAGGTTTGTGCTTTATTTGGCATGGCTCTAGATTAGAGAAGCAGGGAAGCCTGCAACGTCCAAGTATATTCGAGCAGGCAGACTTTGTCATTTTACTCTCTAGGTGGATGGAGGTCTGCTTTACAGGACATGAGATCTGCTGGTGAATAAGAGGAAGAGGGCAGGGGGAACTTAAGCTCTAGCGTAAAACAATCTGGTAGTAAATGTTGTAAAGAAAAGAATTGGAGCCTTGTGGAGTCTTTTCCTTGAGGAGGTCTTTAATGCTGGATTGTATTCTTGTGTGCCACTGCAAGGGGCAAACTCAATGTACTCTTAAGATTCCTTCTCTCTTCACTATTCGATATGATTTTTCACATCTACTGAGTATGTTGGCCTTTGATCTCTATCACTGTTGTAATAAAAGCCTAGAGTTTCTTTATCACAAAGCATAATAATTCTGGAATTTTACATTTGCAAAACAGCCAAAATCAGTATAAAGACATGTTTATAAGATCTCAAGACAGAGATTGGAGATAATCAGCTCAATGAACTAAGTGAAGATCCAAACAGATTATCCCTTGCCCATCATGTGGACACAAAGGGAAATGAAACAAAACAAAGCAAACAAGCATAATTGGAATATTCATGTTTATACTACAATAGTGTCAATGGCAAAATAGGAAGAATCAAAGGAAGACTTTGAGTAGCTGACATTGGTGCCTCAAAATCTATCCACAAAAGCTCATTTGTTGCTTATAGGAATTCCCTGGAGCTTGTCTCAGATGTGCCCTTGTTGTATGTGGTTTCCCAGTCATCAGCAGACTGGAAGAGACTGAGAGAATATGGCTAGAGGCTGCAGACAGAAACAAATAAATCTGATAGCCTGCCTTTGAAGGAGAAGATTGAGAAAACTGTAACAGAAAGAAAAGAGAACCCAATTACATAGTTTAGTGACTATTTAGTATGTGTCCTAATGTCAATAGGTATAGCTGTTGAGTGGCTAAATGGGTGGTAGTAAGAATACTGGGTCAAGACCCATGTTCTAGCCCTGTCCCTGCCAATAGCCAGCCCTACTTGTTACCTGACTTACTTTCACTGAGGGTCTGCCATGTGCTGGGCACTGTGCTAGAATTGGTGGCTACAGAGTGAATAAGATATGGTCAAGTAGAGAAGTCGAGTGTGTTAGCAAATAATTGCAATACAGCGCAGGCGGTGCTGGACTCAAAGTGTGTGGAATGGTCCTAGCCAAGGTGGTGGCCAAAGGTGCAAATGATTGACTGGGCCTCAGGGCTGAGGAAGAGCTGCACAGAGATGGAGATAGTTCGGTTACTTCCTAAAGCAGCAGTGGGAGTTGCCAGATATACAAGATGGACTGTGTCTTCCAACAACTACTAAGTTCCAAAAGTGACAAACAGCACAGAATATTCCAGGACTCAAGAGCAGTTAGGCAGGCCCGACTGGTCAGCCAGAAAAATCATCTATGATCTTGTGTAGCCCACAAAGAAATTTGGACTTTATCTTATTGCCAAGAGGCGCATTTGAATATGTTAAGCGGGGAACTGAGTATGTTACATGAGGAGAGTAATAGCTTACAAAGCACTTACCATGTGTTAAGTATAATAGCCATGTGAGATAGGTTCTATTATAATCCCCATTTTACAGATGATGAAACTGAGGCTCAGAGCAGTTAAATGACTAGCTCAAGGTCAAGCTGAGATTGGAACTTAGGCAGCATAGCTCCAGAGTCCATCTTGAAGGTATTGTACTACCTGTCATGTCACTAATGTCCCAGGGAAATTCGTCTTGCTGCAGTATAGAGGGTAGATTGGAGTAGCACAGACTAGAGGTAGAGAGTTTAGAAGACTGTGATGATCAAGGCTAAAGATGATAATGGGCAGAGTTATGGCAATAGCAGGGAGGGAGCAGAGAGTGAGAGACAACCAAGAACTGAGATGACCCTAATAGATCTTAGGATGTCATTCACAAGCCTCAGCTTCCTCCTGTATTATGCACGTACCCCACTACTACCTCACAGGACTATTCTTTGGATTTAGAGTAATATATTAGTTAGAAATTTCTTGTTCATTCAGCAAATATTTATTGAGTCTCTTCCTTGGGCCAGGCAGTGTTTTAGGTGCTGGGGACAGAAAGAGTCTGCCCTCATGAGATTTTATGCCAGTAAGGGTGGAAGAAAGAAGAAAACTAACGGAAAGAGAATAGGAGTGCTGGAGAGGTTGCAATTTTAAATAGAGTTTTCGGAGTTGGTTTCACTGAGACAGTGACACTTGAATAAGAAAGAAATGAGAGAACAATCATGTGTATATCAGAGGAAAGAGCATTTCAGCAAGAGGGCACAGCAAGGGTAAAGATCCTGAAGTGGGAGCGTGCCTTTGCTCACTCAGAGAACAGCATGGGGCTTGGGGTGGAGCTGGCACAGAGTGAGCAAGGAGGAGAGTGGCGAGACCAGATCAAAGCTGTAGTACCCTTTAGGCCATTGTAATGACTTTGGCTTCCACTTGGAGTGAGATAGGAAGCCTTTTGAGGGTTTTAAATGATGAGTGGTATGATCTAACTTAAGTGTGAAGATAATCACTGTGAGGATTGTATTGAAAATAGACTGAAGGGGGAGAAAGACCATAGGAGGAGACCAGTTAGGAGGCTAATACAGCAATAGGGTAAAAAATTATAATGGCAAGGACCAGGTTATAGAGGTGCAGGTGGTGAGAAGTTGTTGGATTCTGGGAATATCAAGCAAGTACAGCAGACAGAATGTGGGGTGGCAAAAAACAGATGCGTCAAGGAAGAATTCACCATTTTTATCCTGAGTGACTGGAGGAAGGAAGTCACCATTAACAGAGATAGGGAAGAGGAAAGAGGAGCAGGTTTGCGGGGGAAAGACTAGGGTCTTGTTTTGGGATGTATTCAGTCTCAGATGCTTTTTAAACATCTCAGAGGAGTTGTCAAGTACAGCTCATGGAAGTATGTATAGAGGTAAGGGAGAGGTTATGCACATAATAGTGATACTGAGCCTTCTTAAAAAGGACCCTGTTCCATACCCTCTATTTAAAGTAAAAAGGGAAATTTTTAACATGCAACATGAGTAATAAGTTTTAGAAAATTTTCCATCAGAAACATTTTTATAGTTCGGTCACTTAAAGGGTTAAGCTTCAGGCGGGCCCGTGGCTTAGCGGTTAAGTGCGCGCTCTGCTGCTGGCGGCCTGGGTTCAGATCCCCGGCGCTCACCGACACACCGCATCTCCAGCCACGCTGAGGCCGCGTCCCACATACAGCAACTAGAAGGATGTGCAACTATGACATACAACTATCTACTGGGGCTTTGGGGGAAAAAAGGAGGAGGATTGGCAATAGATGTTAGCTCAGAGCTGGTCTTCCTCAGCAAAAAGAGGAGGATTGGCATGGATGTTAGCTCAGGGCTGATCTTCCTCACAAAAAAAAAAGGGTTAAGCTTTGGTTATCAGAATTCCTCAATCCCCAGGAAATCCAAAAGGATGGCACAGTACTGTCATTACTGTGACCATACGAAGCTTAGCTATTTTGCAAATCCCTCCAATTTAACTTCCAAAGTGTGGTCATAATTAATCAAATTTGAAAATCTCTCTATTTTAAAAATTGATGTCCACTCCACAGTGGCTGGCCAATGGCATGCTCCTTCACAGTAAGTGTTTCCACCTCAGGTGAATACAAGAGCTTTCCCCTTTGGCCACCAGATTTTAACAGCCAGGGAGAGCTCCTCACAACATGTATTTGTAGACTTATCTCTGACCAACCCTGGGGACCCAGACTTTGCAACACCCGGGTGACCTTCGGCATAAGAAAGGAAAGTAAATTTTGCTCTGTATTTGCAAGTGATTTTTGAAAACCTCGGTACTGAAACCTAAATAGCACTAATTTATCAGGGACTATCTAGAATATAAATTTAGATATACTTCCTAGCTTTGGAATCCATATTTCTCTTCATCAACCTTTGGGAAATTGTGATCTCTGAGGTCCTAATAAGCAGAATGCAACAGATTTACCTAAGAATGTACAGTATGTCAGTAGAAACCAAGCAAAACACTATTTCAGATTGTTCACCTACAGTTAAGTAAAGGACAGAAAACACTGAATCGTCACAACTATTTGAGAGAGCAGTATAATGCCTTCCTTCTTATGTCTGAAGAAATGGTCACATGTGGCTAGGAAGACAAGCTAAGGAGCATTTGCTGCATGTCAGAAGGATTGTACTAGTAGCAATATAGAAATGAATAAGACAAGGTGCTTGTCCCAGGTCATAAACAGTTGGAAGAAAAAAGATTTTTTTACCTCTATCTCCCAAACAGCCACATGTTTAAATATTGTAGGTCTTTCTGACTCTGTTCTATCACTTTTGAGTTAAAATGAATTCCTTTGCCAAAATCCCAACGCATTAATCCTATCAGAGCTAAAAGAAATGTAAAACATGACAGATCTTCAAGAAAAGTTATAGATCGGATTTTAGACTCAAAAAGGAATTTTTTTGTAGGGACTGTTTTTAAAATTAAAAACAGATCATCCTTTAAAAAATGACATCCAGTAAAAAATGACAGTCTCTCATAAGGTGAGAGTATAATAATAGGAATATTGGAAGAATTAAGAGTATGAATAATAAAAATGTGTAAAGTTATTGGGTCTCTTGAGAAGAAAGCACTCTATTAATATCCAGCTGTGTCTCTCTGTGTACTAATTCTCTATTGAAATGCACAGTCCAACCAGATCCACCCATTGGCCTCAACTGGACTTTACTGAACATCAGTTTAACGGGGATTCATGCAGATATCCAGGTGAGATGGGAACCACCACCCAATGCAGATGTTCAGAAGGGATGGATAGTCCTGGAGTATGAACTGCAATACAAAGAAGTGAATGAGACCCAGTGGAAAATGGTAAGTTTTACATCTCACACTTAAAAATCTTTAACTTTTCTTTTTATTTCAACAATCCCCTCTCATTTATAATGAGACTTCCTTTTGACCTAATACCACACACTCATATTATATGCTCCATAATTTTTTTTTTTTCATGAGGAAGATCAGCCCTGAGCTAACATCCATGCCAATCCTCCTCTTTTTGCTGAGGAAGACCAGCCCTGAGCTAACATCTATTGCCGATCCTCCTCCTTTGTTTCCCTTTTTCTCCCCAAAGCCCCAGTAGATAGTTGCATGTCATAGTTGCACATCCTTCTAGTTGCTGTATGTGGGACGCGGCCTCAGCATGGCCGGAGAAGCAGTGCGTCGGTGCGCGCCCGGGATCCAAACCCAGGCTGCCAGTAGCAGAGCGCACGCACTTAACCGCTAAGCCACGGGGCCAGCCCCTCCATAATTTCTTATTTGAGGAAAACTGACATAATCAGTAAAATATCATCTTGGAATTCTGTCCGACAGCAGATACTTACATAGAGCTTATATGGAAGGAAAGGAAAACTGTTTCCCCAGTCATCCTTGGTGTCCAGTTTAACTTTAGAATAAAGTCCTATACTCTAGTCACTTAGCTGTCTATGAGGATGTGGCTAAACATGGACAGGGTTATGATCAAGGTCAACAGTGAGCTATGGCTAAATATTCTCCCATGATTTTAGTTGCTACTGCTCACAAGACCCCCATTAAAATAAGTTCTCAAGTGACTCCAGGAGGGAAACAGAGGGAGGGAATTTGTCCCTTAGAAGTTTCAGAAGGATGTTTTATTATGTACCTCAGGGGAGAATCAAGCTAAGAGGTTTTTACGTAGGCAAGTAGCATGGTACTGGTTGACCTCTGAACTCCTCACTTCCCTGCCAAGTGTATGGGAACTCGGCACTTAGATAAATTCCACATGGCACACAACAAGAAGAAAAACAGGATTATCATGCTGTTCCCAATATAACTAATTCTAAATCAGTCTAACCACAGCCACAGCTCTGGCCAAGCTAAGTGGTTTCTGGCCAGTCATCAGGTCGTGCCCAGCAGCCTGGCACAGCCTCACTCCCAGAATTTTGAGACACCAGGCTCTGTCCATTCAGTGAACTGCTGGAAAAGAAGCCAATTTTGTCATTAGAGGAAAGTTAAGTTTGAAGCAGCTTTTGAACAGTTAAATATTGGGCTTTGAGGTTCTGTTTTCGGAATCATTTTAGTTTAGATATCTGTTCTGTAACCTGGTACAAGAAAGCCTGGTTGGATGCTGAGTCAAACAAGACTTTCTATATTCAAGCTATAATCAAACATTTATTCAGCAACCAGGTCTTGAAATAACTGCTGTGCCCAAGACACTGTGCTAGGTACCCCAGGGCAACAGTTCTCAAAGTGTGAACCCTGGACCCCTGAGGGTCTCTGAGACCTTTTCAGAGAGTCCACAAGGTGAAGACTATTTTCTATAGTCTATAATAATACTAAAATGTTATTTCCTTTTTTCATTGTGTTGAGATTTGCACTGATGGTACAAAAGTAATGGTGGGAAAACTGCCATCGCCTTAGCGCAAATCAAGGCAGGAGTTCCAAACTGTACTGATAAGTCACACTCTTCTTCACCACCATGCACTCATGGTAAAGAAGGAGGAGAGCTAGTTTCACATAAGAATGCCCTTGATGACGCTGTAAAAAATTATTAATTTTATTAAAGCTCAACTTTTGAGTACACAGCTTTTTAAATATTCTGACACATGGGAAATACACATAAAGCATTTCTGCTCCATACCAAGGTTGTATGGTTGTCTTGAGGAAAAGCACTTAAATGGCTGAACTGCCCACTGAACTAGCTGCTTTTTGCATGGAACACCTTTTTTACTTGAAAGAACAAATGGTTATTTATATTTGAGTAAGCAAATATTTGGCAAATGTCTCTTGAAAAAGAATGAAGTGACCATATCACTTCAAGAAAAACAATTGACAGTATTTGTTGCCAATCAAAAAATTTGAGCTTTCAAGGGAAAATTAGAATTTTGGAAAACTTGCATCTATCTGCAGCCATGAGCTTGATAGCTTTCCCAATCTTTGAAGACTTTTCTGATGAGATCAATGGTGATATTAGCGAAAGTGGTTTATTTATATATTGTATAATAAAATGTATGAACACTTAGAAAATCTGCCTAACTCAGTGAATGAATATTTTCCAAATGACTAATACATGATGTAACCAAAATCATGCATGGGGAATGGTCCTTTCAAAGTACTAGATGGAACGGTGGATTTTAATGTAACAAAGTATGAAAGATTCATTGGTAAGGTTTCAGATTCCACATTGCAGTTAACCTTTAAGAAACTACCACTTGTTTAGTTTTGGTGTTCATTTTGGTGTTCAAGAAGAATTTCCACAATTATCTGAAAAGGGTATTAAAATATCCCTGTTTTTCCTCACTGTATATCTGTGTGAGATCAGATTTTATTCATGCACTTCGACCAAGACAACACATCCTCACAAATTTAATTCAGAAACAGATGTAAAAATACAGCCATCTTCTATTAAGCCAGACATTAAAGTGATATGCAAAAATGTAAAATAATGTCACTCTTCTCACTATAATTTTGTTGTTTTGGAAAGTACAATAATTTTTATAAAAATATGTTAACGTAAAAACCAATTCATTATTTTAATTTTAAAATGAGTGTTTTTAAATTTCTCAGTTTCAATTTCAAATATGGTAAGTGGTGATAGGTATAACTGAAATAAACCAAATCTTTGGGATTCTCAATAATTTTTAAGAATGTAAAAGAGTCTTAAACAAAAAAGTTTGACAACCTAGAAAAAGCAAAGACGTAAGTCAGAACGTTAGCATTCATAGATTTACTAATCATAGTTTAAACCCTGAAAGTCCATGGCGGGTAGTTATGTCTCAGCTGAGGCACAAATAGGAAACTCACACCCTGAGCCAGGTGCACGTGACCCAAGAGACCATCAGGGCTGCATCCCAATGTAGCTTTGTTGCATTTTTCATTGCACCCCTGATAAATCTCATGAGATAGTCGGAAGGGGTCAGTTAACTTTTACTTTACTTACCTTTTATGAATGAAGTTATATATTCTTGGTATTTCTAAGTTTGGTAACTTGGACAGAGTTGTCATGAATATCAAGGGTGTATCTATAAGCACTGACCTCTCTCTTGAAGAAACCCACCGTCTAATTTGTTATAAGCACAAGAGTCATAAGCATAGAAAGAAGAGAGGTTTGTAAGTAGAGGGGGAAAATGCTAATGTTTATTGCTTGAATCAGGAATTCATATTACTGTTTGACAATATTGCATTTGGTATTACTTTGCCTCTGTTTTTTATTAAATATGTTTTGAATGTAAAAGTAATACTAATGACCATGTAGTTGCTTACATCTATTTACCTACTAAACCAAGTTGAGAATTTATGGTTTTTTAAAGACTGGATGGATGGCATTTATGAGCCATTTCTTGAGCACCCACTGTATACTTGCTATTGTGCTGGCCTTTGGAAATGCAAAGATAACAAAGGCATTGTTTGCCCCTAGGGAATTTGCAAAGTAACAGAGAAATTTCAGCAGTGAAATACAAGAAGTAATATAAGAGGTATATTATCTGGCAGGATGGAGTAGGGAAAAGTGCCAGGAAAGACTTCTTAGGATATCGGCAATACTTGCACTGAGGATTGGCCAAGAGTAGGTGTTCCCTCACAGGGAGGTGGCAGGGTTCAGTGTGGCTGTAGGAGCCATGTGAGCAAGTTTGAGTTTGGTGAGGAAGGTTGAGGGAAGATGGAGAAGGGGACATAGGTAGAATCACTGAGGGCCCCTTTTTGGTTCTGTTATTAGTGAAATCTGCAAAGAAATAATATTGGTGGCAATACCAGAGAAAATAGGGCTTTAAGAATGGAAACACAGGCTTTAAAAAATACTTTAAGAAAAATAGTAAGTTTAATATTCAGAATTCTGTCTTTACAAAAGCATTTTAGGACTACAAATATTTTATATATTAAGAAGCTTGCATAAAAGACACAAGGTAACCATCCCATGTACATATGGGAAAAAAGAGGTACTTTGTGAGTAGAAATTAACTGAGGTGAAAGGAAAATTTGTTTTAGAAGCTGAAGGCCCAGCTTCTGACTTAATAAAACAAATTATGAGAATCTTATTTATGTGAAAAACCCATGCTGTTGAAAAAGGGAGTATTCCTAGTTTTCTACAAACAGAAACAAGATGTTCTACCTGAAAACATGTGAAAAGCACATATTGAATACCTGGTTTGAGTATTTGACTTGGAAGAAAACACTATCATTAGTTAGGTCTGCATCTTTGATAGCAACGTGTCTTAAATGTCTAATAGCCTCACTTACCCTTCCCTGGGAAGGTAAAGGATATGCCGGCCTTAAGGGTTGTGGTACCCTGATGTTCATTACGCAAGGACTCCAGTGACTTTTCTTCACCAATTTTGAATAGCATACTATTTTGAGGTGGTTTTAAACCTTCTAGAACAAGCAGATTAGATATGTAGTTGCTTCTAATGGAATTATTTGAAAGTTCAGTTAAGGCAACCATGATTTTTTTAGGACCTTTTGCAATTCTGTGATCACATGAATGACTACCCAGAATTTCCAAAGAACAGAGATAGATAGATAGATAGGTAGATAGATAGATAGATAGATAGATAGATAGATAGATAGATAGATAGACAGACCGGATAGATAGGTAGGTAGGTAGATAGATAATGTACATATGACTATAATTTGTTTCAGTGTGGAAATATGTTTTTTTTCTGTTTTTATGTCTTCATACAAAACTATAATATCCCTAAGAATAGGCAACATATCTGTAGTCTTCTTTATAGTTCTGTCATTGTCTATAATAATTCTATTATGCTTTGATCTTAGCAGAATATTTGACAGCCTAATGCAAAGATATAGCTGCATTTCTTTAAACAAGTCTATCATATCTTTCGGTTTACACCAAAATAAATTAAAGGACAATTATCTGTTTAACAAAATGATTCTTTACGAAGTTATTTGCCTTGAGCTTTCTTTAAATAACAAACTCCACGAGTGCATTATAAAATATTACCTACTTTACAGAAATTTATTTTGAATACAAATGCAGAAACACCTTATAGAGTTTATTGCATTGAGTTGTTGACTCTCTAACCAATAAGTTTTATATTTTATCTTAAAAGATGGACCCGGTATTGTCTACATCAGTTCCAGTGTACTCATTGAGACTGGATAAAGAATATGAAGTGCGTGTAAGATCCAGACAACGAAATTCTGAAAAATATGGCGAGTTCAGTGAGGTGCTCTGTGTAACACTTCCTCAAATGAGCCCATTGGCATGTGAAGAAGGTAAAATAAAAGATTTAAAATGGCAGCCAACGTGGCTTTTGTCAATATATGGTGATACATTCCCTACATTGTTAGGGTGTTGTCCAGATCAAGATACATTAGTATCAAGTGTCAGGGTAAGAGACCTCGAGCTCACTATCTATATCAGGTATTATCCATTACAAAAGTGGAAGGAGGATTTAGTTTTCAAATTATTGACTTCAGGAAAAGTCCTGGGGTAGGTGCAAGTTAAAGAGGGGAAGATACACTAAGATATTAATGGAAAGTATCTCTGGATAGCAAAATTTCAGTGATTCTTTTCTTTATATGTTTCTGTATTTCTAAAATTTTCTACAATGAGTTCATTTTGCATTATAATCAGAACAAATGTTTTTCAAATTCATAGTGAAGAAATTCTGTATCCATATGGATGGACGTATATGTGGCATCTAAGAGAAAGCTTAACATTGAGTCAGCATAGGTAGTCAATGGCAGGCGCTTATTGGTCTTACAAAGTTTAGGTGTGGCTTTTACCTGGAGGAAGGCTTAATAAGTACTGTGCCAGTTATGCTCAAGAGTAACATGGAACATTTGAAGATCCTACATAAGAGAAATACGAAGATAATTAAAGTTTAAAGAAATGAGACCTATAAATTCAGAATAAAAGAATTGAAGCTTTTAGATACAGAAATAAAGAAAGCTGCTTAACAATGAACAGTAAGTGTATAAAGTATTATCACTCCCAAATGGGAATTGGCTATATAGCTCATCTCCATTAAAAGCAGAAGGTTTACAGGGTCAGATGAGGAGCTGAGTTTTGTTATATGAAACAATCACAAGCTACAGAGAAATGAAATTTATATTTCTGCATTTACGGTACAGGTGTTGTTGCACTCTATTTCAGTGGTTATCAAATGAAATTACTGACTTTACTAGATGAATACAAATTAGAAAATATTTTTATGTGAAAAAGGAAAGTGAAACGTAAACTTCAACTGTTCCTCATGCTCTGAGTGAGATATTGTTCTTGTGTGTTTCAGATGTCCGGTTTCCATGGTTCTTAATTATTATCCTTGGAATATTTGGGCTAACAGTGATATTATTTTTGTTCATATTTTCTAAACAGCAAAGGTAGGTGTGATATAGTCTAATTGATATGTTTTCGCCAGTTTTGCAAACGTGTTTCCATTTGTTGTTTGATATTTCCTCTTGCAAATCATGAGTAAAAATTTTAATTAACCAGGTAAAACATTATCTCCAGTTATACATTAACCACTTTGTTGTGTTCATCATAGAGAATTCATAGATTTCAGTTCTATCTAGGAAGCTATATAGAACATCAAGAGGCTGAGGCTAGTGACTGCACACCTTGTCATATGCACCACTTTAACAAAACTATTATCTCAGAGCTGCCTCTTCACTTCTTCAAAATCCTGAATAAGTTGGCCCATTCATTCCAGGACCATAAGGTAGCCTGAGCTTTTGGCTGAGTTTGACGCAGTCCTAATGTACAGTCATATGTCACTGACTGACAGAGATACGTTCTAAGAAATGTGTTAGACGATTTCGTCATTGTGCGAACATCACAGAGTGTCTTACACAAATCCACATGGTCTAGCCTACTACACACCTAGGCTATATGGTACTAATCTTATGGGACCACAGTCGTATATGTGGTCCGTCATTGATTTAAATGTCATTATACAGCACATGACTGTACAAGAAAATTTAAGTGGCAAACTAAAGCTACCTAGATAATTCAATCTAATAAAGCCTTTTTAGACTTCATATGATGGCAATTTCAAGTAAATTCAGGTTTTATTTAAATTATTTGGGTATTTATGATTTGGTATTTTACCTGCTTTTGTAAACACAACTAAAATTCTAAGTTTGAAGAAGTTCCATTCTGTATTCTCTTGGAGTGAAAAGACTTTGGTTCCAGTTATTATTCTGCCACTGCTATTTGATCCCATTTGAGTCCCTTAACCTCTTTGGGCCACCATGTTCTCATGGGTAATGTGAGGGTGTTGAATTATATGACCTTTACATTTTCGTTAAGCTGTAAAAGCTAATCTTTCTATTTTTCTTTCTGAAAGAAACTCAGTACAGAGCACAGGAAATTTTAATACAAAATATAGAAAAAATTATTGGTACCAATTGCCAGTTTTCTTACATTTAGAATATTTTTAAAGTCCCATGGGTTAATCTTGCTCTTTCTCCTAGAATCGGGGTGACCAACACTCCCAGTTTGCCTGGGACTTCCCTAGTTTTAGCACTGAAAGTCCTGTCCCAGGAAACCCCTCAGTTCCAGGCAAACCAAGATGGTTGGTCATCCTACCTAGAATTGAAGACAAGTTCTCCAGCTGAAGTCAAGAGGCATCTACAAATCAAAATAGGATCTATGTGAATATATTTAATTTGTTTTTTGAAGTTATATGGCATTTGTAAACATCAAAATAGAATTTTAGTAGAAAGAAGAATTCTCAGATGCTAGAGTTCTAGAGTGTCAAGCATGCTAAAAGTCTCCAAATGAATGCAGAAAGGATTATTTTTCATCGAGTTTCATCTCCAATTTTATAATGTAAACCAATGGGAAAGCAAATGCACTCTGCAGTATTTCATTTTGCACCTAACTTTCTAGCAATATTTCTGTTTTACAAACACATCTATTATAAAATAGGACAACACAGTTTTCAATTGTTTGGGGAAAATTTAGTAAATAAATAAATTTTTAAGATTTTAAGTAATTTATATATTTAAGTAATGCCAACAACAAAGGAGCCAAATTATTCTGTTGATTAATTTGAATTCATTGATCTGTACAGTTGCTGGGCTAATTTATATGTAACTGCAGTAGATAAACCCACTCTGTCTATAAATTAATTTACTCTTAACATTAGCTATCAATTTCGAGTCATTGTGAAGGCTGAATAAATTTGTTATTTTGCTTAACTATATTAGTTAACAATATTTGTAAGAAAAAGTAATCTTCTGAACAAATAGGATTTCAAAGAAAATATATTAACCTTTATCTAAAAGAGTGTTTTTTATGAATAATGAAGTTCTTAACTATGACGCTAGGTCAAAATCACCAAATTGTAAAAGTTTTTTGAAATCTTTTTGTACTTTCAAATTTCCTGTGCTAAATTAAGTTCTTTGTAGAAAAGAATTAATTTTTCTCTTTCATTTGCCCATAAAAATCCTTATTATTGTCTAAATTTCCATGTTCTAATGAAAGTAGGAAATAGTAGAAAATAATTGTCAGCAGGTGTGGGAAAAACATGTAGTTCTAATAATTAAAATGACATCCCAAAGAATGAGGTGCCGTGTCAACTTTCCCCAAACCTTAGGGCTGTAAAGGGCTTCAGGTCCTCCATGTCTTTGCTTGAAATTTTTTGAGTCCACAATCTAAGCTACTTTCCTTTTTGTTTTTTGGTGAGGAAGATTGTCCCTGAGCTAACATCTGTGCCAGTCTTCCTCTATTTTGTGTACGGGATGGTCCACAGCATGACCTGATGAGCAGTGTGTAGGTCTGAGCCTGGGGTCCGAACCCATGAACCCCAGGCCAGCGAAGCAGAGTGCGCAAAAGTAACCACTGCGCCACCAGGCCAGCCCTACTTCTCCCTTTTTTAATCCAGATAATTGAGTCAACTGTAGCAAAACTTATCATGTAATGTGGATTTTAATAAAATGATAGCCAAGTCACAAACATAGTTTCATGCCAAGTTATCTTTACTCTATACTCTGTTGTTTCCTCCATTTGAGCTGTTACTAATCAGGAAAGAAATACCTGAATCAGCATAAAACAGGAGAGGCAAACTGGCAAGCTGAAAGCCAAATTCAGCCTGTAGATCCGAGTTTTGTTATTTTATGTTATTTTGATTTTCGAGTAAAGGTTTTGCTACAAAATGTTTACAAAATAGGGAATTTTCACACAAAAATCCATATTTCCAGATTCTCCATAAAAACTGAAAGATCTAGTAAAACTGGATTGATATTCCTGCATGGCAACATGTGCTGAAGCAAAGGACCAGCTCTCCCATTCGAGAAGCATGTACACTATCTAGTTTGTCACCATTCCCGTCTCTCCCTATGACATTGCACCTGGCCTGCTTCATTTATTTGCATGACCTGCTTGGGCCCTATAGGTTGCAAGGTCTGCCACCCTGGCATAAAGTCAACCACAACTCCTAGAAAGCTAACTACTAACATGTGCCCAAATGCATCATCCTCTTCAAAAAGGAGAGGCACCCATTACAAAGTCAAGCATTAGACATTTGGAATCTTTGCTTCCTATAATTAGGGTTATGTTACATTTGTGTATGTTTTTGAACATGTGAAATATTCATTTAGAGATGCAGAACCAAGTAACACAGCAGCGTGACAGAAGGCAAAGGGCCTGGGTTATAGAGTCAGGTACATTGGATTTAAGCCCCAGCTGTATTAAGTATTAGTGCATGATTTGAACACATTCCTTAAATCTCTAAATCTTTCTGCAGATCATATCATCTGCCTCCCTTGTAGTTATATGGGTTAAATAAAATATCTAGTGTAGAGGTTCACAAACTTGTTTTCTAAAGGGCCCAATAGTAAATTTTTAGGCTTTCTGGGCCATGGATCTCTGTCACAACTATTCAACTCTGCCACCGTGGCGGGAAAGCAGCCATAGAGAACGCATATAGAGAAGATGTAAACTAATAAACGTGGCTGTGTTCCAATAAAACTTTGTTTGCAAAAACAGAGGGCAGGCCAGGTTTGGCCCACAGGCTATAATCTGCTGACCCATAGTTTAGTGCAAAATACATCTCCTGGTATCTGGTTTATCAGAAATAGCAGTTATTATTAATAATTTATATTTTTTCCATATCTCCTATTCATTAGTAACAATCGTTTTAATACTTATCCCACTGAGTAAACCTAGCAGAGGCTACTGAAAGTCATTTATAAAATGGAATTTGGTGTATTCCTTGGGTTAGGTAAAAAGGCGGTAGAAATATTCAAAGAATGGGTTCCCTATTGAGTAGACTGGATTGTCCATTCACAGTGAGTGGAATATCAGCTGATATCCAAAAATCAGGTTACCATCCCTGCCCAACAGTGGCATCTCTGACACATAGGGTTTTTTTTTTTTTTTTAAACAACAAAGTGAGTTCGTTGGAGTGAATAATCTCTGAGTTTTTTCTAGAGCTACCATGTTGGTTTTAAAACATAAACTCTAGTTACACTATTAACAAAATAGATAAGTGATTTATTCAGATTTATTCAGGAAATGTTTATTGAGCACCTTCTATGTGCCAGGAATTGTTCTAAGTGCTGGGGATACAATAAGTCACAAGACAGGGAGGATAAACATTGAAATGCATTATGGTCAAAAACTAATTTAAATATTTTGAACAGAAAATGTAAGTGCATCACAGAATTATGTATATAAATCCACAGTGATTAGTCAGCGATAGTCCAAATTTAGTCTGTCCCAACTGAAATGAACCCTGCAGTGACACCCTGGTTAATGAGATCATCTTATATAATTTTTAATTAACGTGAGCTGTGTGGTGTGAACTTATCCCAGTCCATCCTTTTCTGAGGGTGCAAATAATTTTGGCTCCATGTGGGTTGGTTCTTTGTCCTTCTCTATCCTTCCTTCCCTCCTTCCTTCCTCCGTCCCTCCCTCCTTCCTTCCTTCCTCTGCAAATTACTGATGAGATGTACATTAAAATTACCTTCATTGTAACTGAAAGGGAAATTGACTTCAGATGGAATTAAATTTCTCACTCCCAAATGCTAATGCTAGCTGTCAATAAGAGACATTAAGAAAAAAAAGAAGATTATAGGAAAACCATGTTTTATTTAAATTGATTTCAGATGAGGGCTTTTTTGTTCTTTTCTTTTCTTCTATAGTTTTTCCTTATCATTTACTACTTAATATTTTCCTTCTCTTTCTCATATTCCACTTATATAAAGTACCAGAATATTTGGAATAAGTAATAGTACTGCCAATACAGTAGTCTCCCCTTATTCATGGGGGATACATTCCAAGACCCCCAGTGGATGACTGAAACTGCAGATAGTACCAAACCCTACATATACTATGTTTTTTCTTATACATACATACCAACGATAGTTTAACTTATAAATTAGGCACAGTAAGAGATTAACAACAACAACTAATAATAAAATAGAACAATTATAACAATATACTGTAATAAAAATTATATAAATGTGGTCTTTCTCTCTTTCTCTCAAAATATCTTAATTGTACTGTATTTTTGGACTGCAGTTGACCATGGGTAACTGAAACCATGGATAAGTGGGAACTTTGTTGTTAGTGCCATTGAGTCAATTCCAACTCCTAGCAACCCTTTGTACAGCAGAGTGGAACCCTGTCCTGTCATTTTGCCTAGTCCTCTCATCTTTCAGCACTATATCAGACAAAGCTCCACTGCTATTGACAGGGTTTTCATGGCCAATTTTTCTGGAAGTGGGTGGCCAGGTCCTTCTGCCTAGTCTGTCTGTCAGTCTGAAAACTCCACTGAAACCTGTGCGCGATGGCCGACCCTGCTGGTGTTTGAAATAATTGTAGCATAGCTTTCAGCATCACAGCAACACGCATCCATCATGGTATGACAACTGACAGATGGGTGGTGTGGTTCCTTGACCAGGAAACCAATCCAGGCTGTGGCGGTGAGAGCGCCGAATCTTAACCACTAGACCACCAGGGCCGGCTGGGGGGACTACTGTATTTTATTTCTATCTTTTGAAATAAGAGAATGTATAACTTTGAAGATATGTCAAACCAAAATTTTGTTTGTTTTCAAGGATTAAGATGCTGATTCTGCCCCCAGTTCCAGTTCCAAAGATTAAAGGAATTGATCCAGATCTCCTCAAGGTAATTAATAAATTATCTAAATTATAGATAACACTAATTAAATGATACCTGAAGAACATTGTCTTACGTTGAGAGCTTTTGCAAGCTATATGTATCACATTCTATTTTTGTGGCCCTTCTGGAAAAAAGTTTTTTAAAATATTACATATCTTAAAATTATGAGAAGATCTTATGTATTTAAAATTTCTTCACTAATTTATTTTTTATTATATGTTTTTGTTACTGTTGTTCTTATTGTAACCATAATTAGTGTCTGATTGTTATTTGTTAAATCACTTAATCATTGTGAGTTTCTTTTCATAGATCTTCATTTTCTTTCTCTTTCCTAGGAAGGAAAATTAGAAGAGGTGAACACAATCTTAGCTATTCATGACAACTATAAACCTGAATTCTACAATGATGACTCTTGGGTTGAATTCATTGAGCTAGATATTGATGACCCTGATGAAAAGACTGAAGGATCAGACACAGACAGACTTCTAAGCAATGACCATCAGAAATCACTTAATATCCTTGGGGCGAAGGATGACGACTCTGGACGTACCAGCTGTTATGAACCTGACATTCTGGAGACTGATTTCAATGCCAGTGACATGTGTAATGGTACCTCAGAGGTTGCTCAGCCACAAAGGTTAAAAGGGGAAGCAGATCTCTTGTGCCTTGACCAGAAAAATCAAAATGACTCACCTACTAGTAATGCTACCCCTGCTACTAAGCAGCCCAGTGTTATCCTAGCAGAGGAAAACAAACCAAGACCACTTCCTATTGGTGGAACTGAGTCAACTCATCCAGCTGCCCATACTCAGCTAAGCAATCCGAGTTCACTGGCAAACATCGACTTTTACGCCCAGGTAAGCGACATTACGCCAGCAGGGAGTGTGGTCCTTTCCCCGGGCCAAAAGAACAAGGCAGGGATATCCCAGTGTGACATGCATCCTGAAGCGGTCTCACTCTGCCAAGCAAACTTCATCATGGACAACGCCTACTTCTGTGAGGCAGATGCCAAAAAGTGCATTGCCGGGGCCCCTCACGTCGAGGTCGAATCACGTGTAGAGCCAAGCTTTAACCAGGAAGACATTTACATCACCACAGAAAGCCTTACCACTACTGCTGGCAGGTCTGGGACAGCAGAACATCCTTCAAGTTCTGAGATGCCTGTCCCAGACTATACCTCCATTCATATAGTACAATCGCCACAGGGCCTCGTCCTCAATGCTACCGCCTTGCCCTTGCCTGACAAAGAGTTTCTCTCATCGTGTGGCTACGTGAGCACAGACCAACTGAACAAAATCATGCCGTAGCCTTCTTTGATTTCCCATGAGCTATATACTTAATGGCAAAGAGTTGGCTGGGGCATGAATGCTTAAACCAAAACAATGTTTAAACCCTTTTTTGTTGGCAGTGAGAGTATGGATTCTAAATGCCTTTTCCTGAAATGTTGACAGATGATATTAAAAAAATAAGAAGAAGAATGCTTAATCAGATAGATATTCCCGTTGTGAACTGTAAATATTTTAAAGAATTGTCTCAAAGACTGTTTAGTGGCAGTGATTGTCTTGTTATTGTGGGTGTTGATTTTGTGAAACTTAGCATTGAATGGCTATGTTTTTAATGTATAGTAAATCATGCTTTTTGAAAAAGCGAAAAATCAGGTGGCTTTTGCAGTTCAGGAAAATTGAATGCAAATCATAGCACAGATAATTTTTTTTAAATTGGGAACTAAAATTATAGGTAAGAAGACAAAAAATTGTTTGGATATGTAACATTTATTTTGGCATAAATTGATAAAGATATTTTTAATAATTTACACTTCAAGCATGGCTATTTTATATTACACTACACACTGTGTACTGTAGTTCATGCAGACCCGTCTAAAGAATGTAGCAACTACAGTCTAAAGCTGGTTTAATGCTCTGGTCAGTGCACCTAAAGAAAAACAAACAAGTTAGTTTTTTACAAGGCCCTTTTTATACCTCCTGAAACTCCTTAAACAATTCTAAAAGGATTGTAATTACCTGCATTATTGGAACATGCTCGTTTTATCTGAATTTTTAAACTAATATTTGTTAATTTAGAAAACTTTAAAATGTTTGCACAAGTCAACTTATCATGAACCAAAAAACAAACAGCCAAACAGAAAACCCTTTCTTACCCAAATTTTGGTTCATGTCAGAGAGCTACATACTAAGAGAAGTAGAAAGTATAGCTGGTCCCTGTTGACCAGGTTGCTTGAGTGTTGCAGTTGCACATGGAGTGAGTTTTTTCATGATCCGAGTTCACGCAGATCATGAGGGGTAAGCCCTAGAGCCTCCGCAGCAGTATCTTCAAACACAACTTGATTTTATTTCATAGTTCTAAGAAGGGAATAAGGTACAAGAAGCACTTTGTAAGTTGAAGCAGGTCGAAATGAAGTTAACCAGATAATGGAATAAAAAGTTCAAGAAATAGCTTTTTGTTTCACAGCCTATAGCCAGACACATCCTCATTATTCATGGTAATGAGAAACAGAAGGAACAAGATTTTAAATCCCCCCAGATAACTCAAAATTTACTTAAACCAATAGCAGAAACTTTCTTCCTCACCAGGCCTTTTATAGGATTTATTTAAAGAATTAAAAGAAGAAATTTCATCATTTTGTTATTTCTCCTCAGAGTGGATTGGCCTCAAAGCAGGGGAAGGAGAAGCCTGTGTAATTTATAAATTATTTTTCAATCCCTGAATAACCTAAACATCATTCTTCGGAGCATTGGGATTGCTCCTCAAAAGGTTTGTCAAAAAGAGAAGAATCTCATCTCACTAAAGAATGCTTCTCACTTTAAGTATTTTTTTTAAAAGGTTAATAAAACTTTAAAGTTAGCTTTAACTTAAACAGTATTTGCCATTTAGCTCAGACCGTTTTGGGAAACAAGCTTAATGGTTGGTAATTTTAAATTCCCTCTTTCTTGCAGGAAGGACAGTGAAAAGCTAGAATTGGGTGTTTATAAAGTTCAACATGTTACTTCGTAATAGATGTTTAGTAGATTTTCTGCTACCTTGCTGCTATGGTTTTCTCTAAGAGCTACATAATTTAGTTTCATATACAATTTCATCAATGTAGAACCTAATTCAACTTAAAACTGTGTGTTTGGGAAAACTCTGACTATTTCACAATAGGCTGACAACATTTCTATAGCCAAAAATAGCTAAATACCTCAATCAGTCTCAGAATGTCATTTTGGTACTTTGCTGGCCACACAAGCCATTATTCACTAGTATGACTAGTTGTGTCCTGCAGTTTATATTTAACTTTCTTTATGTCTGTGGATTTTTTTCCTTCAAAGTTTAATAAATTTATTTTCTTGGAATTGTGTGGTATGCTTCTGTTGTCAAACACCCACATGAAAAGCATCCTAAACCAGACTACATACTGTCAGTTCTTCACACTGTAGGGGGAGCTTAGCACATTTGGTTAAACACATTGGCAATGGGTGTGAAGATTTGTGTTATGTGCTGGAATATATAGAGGCAAAGGAGGCAGCTCCCTACCTCTCTTTCTTGAGGAAACAGGAACCCAGCTCAAAAATATCCTGCTGGGGGCCCACCCAGTGACATAGTGGCATAGTGGTTAAGTTCCCTCTGTGCTTAGGCAGCCTGGGGTTCTCAGGTTCGGATCTCGGGCAGACCTGCACACCACTCATCAAGCCATGCTGTGATGGAGATCCACATACAAAATAGAGAAAGATCGGCACAGATGTTAGCTCAGGGACAATCTTCCTCAAGCAAAAAGAGGAAGATTGCCAACAGATATTAGCTCAGGGCCAATCTTCCTCACTTAAAAAAAAAAAAATCCTGCTGGCTTGCCTGGACTGCGCCCTCTTCTCAGCCTGCTAACTCCTCATGGGTGGAGGCTCTTACAGCCATGTTTTGTTGGACACATCATACCTTGCTTGGCATGTGGGGGGTAGGGGGGGAAGGGTGAGGATGAGAGAGTGGGGCTTGAACCTTGTCTTTAAGCTGCATTTCTAGCTTGAGCATGTTGCCTGGAAAAAGGAAAAGCAGCTCCTCCTCTACCATTCATGCATTATCACAAGCCAGTTTGTCAGACTAGCTACTTGTCATCTTGAGAAGCGGATAATAAGTCAAGCCTGGGAGGGAGGTCAGTTAGGTAGGTTATGTAGAAGCCTAAGAAAACGGTAAAGCCATAAAGCATAGAGTCCTCTACAGGAGCTCCAGGTGGGTTAGCTACTAAATCACAGGCTCCCGTGCAGGCGCTGGGTCCTGAGAGGTGAGAGTCCGATGGCATTGATGGCACTGAACAATAATCTATTGCTTCAGCAAGTTGAAGGCAATTGCCACAACTTTTCATAATACTAGAGGGTTTACATTCAATACAAATAAAAAATCTCTCCACCTGCTGCCTTCTGCCCTTGGAACAGCCATTACCTGAAAGAACCATGAGTGAAGCCTCAGGGTTTCCTACTCCCTTATTTGGAAATAAGGTTTGGAAAATCGTGTCTCTTTTGTCACTAAGACATTGGAACACACGCTGCCTTAACATTTACAAAACAAATAAAAGATCATTGTTTTAAGCACCAGATACTTAGTTTTTACATACATAATACCAGACTCAGCCTTATGATCCAGGCTTATCATTCATGTGGGGTGCTTCAGGGTATCAGGAATGAAGGGGAACGAAGGCCTAATTACTTTCGTGGATTAAAGAGCACAATCCTTTCTATTTCGAAAGATTAATGTCATGATGAAGATGGCTACACATGTGTTCCTATATTTAAACTTCTCAATGGTTCTACTAAAACACACTAACACAAATCTCTTCATGTGTTATGATATTTACATTCTTATATAGTTTTACAACAAAATATTAAATGTCTTTTCATGTTCTCTGTTTAGGCTAAGAAATAGGGGGAAAAACTAGAAGTCACTTAAATCCAAAGTCTTTCATTTGGAATCTAAGATCCCACATAATTTGCCCCATCTCCTTTGCTAGCTTAATATTTAAGAGCGGTGTGTCAAGGGCACAGCTTCTGAATAAGAATTTGACCTTTGGTTAACATTCAAGCTCTGTTCCCTTGGAAATCTAATGAGTATTATGTCAGTTATGTTACATAGGCAACATTGCTCATGGTTGAAATGATCCCTGACTGACAAATTACATCTGGATGGGGAGAAACTCTAAATATTTGGAGATAAACCACACTTTGGATTTGAGTATGGCGACTCTTATTATTGAGCATCGCATTATAGAGGGACGCTGGAAGCCACCCATGGAGTTGTAACAAGAGCTCTTGTCTCCAGTGGGACATAGAGCTTCTAAACCTGAGGGACTCCTTTACCTGCCCAATACGAGTCTCCTTTCCTTGTGCCTGAGCTGTCACTTGGGGGAGGAGGGGAAAGAAAATCCTGGACAGTTGTATAAATGGCTATGTAGACTGCAGCATGGACTGTTGCCACGACTACGACTGTAAAGCAGAAAGCCTAATGCTGCCCCGTCCTACATCCTTCCTGTCCTACGTTCTCCTGAGTAGGCTGGGGCCAAATGTGGTCATCTGGGGAATGTTTACTTGAACTCAAGAAGATCTCCTTGCAGATGTAGCAAGAGACACTTTCCACTCCTTGAACAGTTTGTGCTTTCCCATCTTTATGTCCTCACTCATGCCTCTTCCTTCACCTGAAAAGCTCCCACTCACCAATCTTGCTTGTCAAAATTCCCCTCATCCTTCATGGCCCAGTTCAAACACCTCCTTCATGCAGCCCCCCTGATTTCCTCCAGGCTTAAGTGATCATTTCCTCCTCTGAGCCACTCTGTATAATGTTTATAACTCTCTCGTTGTTAGCTCACCTATCAACTGCCTAGGATGGGTTTACCAACATGGATTCTGGGACATACCTGTTCCCTGAAATGTTCTTAAATGAGTGATTCTGTAGTCAAATAAATTTGGGAAACACCTCATGCTATACTTCCCTCTGGGAGAGCCAGAGTGCATATTGACATTTTAAAGCTTCTACAGTGGGAAAAAAAAAAAAATCTGTTTAAATTTAACATGTTATTTCCTAATTTATTCAACAATGAAAAATATAATGGTAAAAGAGTACCTACTATTACATTTATTAACACTTGGGAAAAGCTGCTCTAAGAAGAGTAGCATGTCTAACACAAAGTTATAATAAATTTCAGATGAATGTGAATTGGAATGAAGGATCTTTATGTGATGCCATTAAACAATCATAAAACTTCCTAAAAAATACAAGGCAAAGCAGCTGTGTGATTAATAACCACAGATCCTTCTCATCTCAACTCAGGTACGTTACTTTTTTTCACATGTGGAGTGACATTTTTCTAAGGGCCTGGAGGTCTTAGCCATTCATTGTCTTCTCTGAGACAGTGACTTTCTAGCTCCTCGCTGAAACAGACTTTGAATCTCCCCAGTCTTCAGGCAGACAACTGGAAGAGAATGACTAACACATGGGACCTACCAACATTAGCAAGTTCTCAGTCTCACTCGATGTACCTAGTTTTCCCTGAACTCTGAGGCATACAACACTGAAAAATGCTTATATCGCTCTTCATAAAGAGGAGCATATTTTGCCGTGAAGCTACAGAATAATATGTATCATCTGTTTTTACCTGAACAAAAATAATTCACTCCTTACTGCTGTCTACTGAGTTAAAAAAAAATCATCCACACAGAACTTCAAACATAATAGATTTTTGCACAGTAGTCTCAGGAAGCAGTCTTCGTGAGAATATGTAGAAAAGCACTTTGCTATTGATTTTTTTAAAAGAAGAATCTCTACATGATTGTTCTGTGGGCATTTAGAGATGTTACTAGCACTTTCTGTAAGGATGAAATAATTTGTCAGGAAATTGTACACACTTTGGCTTTCCCAATGGTACTGCAGTCAAAATCCAAAGTAAAAAGATTTTTATTGTTAGCTTTCCTTTAGATAGTACCATAGGATAAAAATTATTTATATAGGATTTTGATTTTATAAAGCACTTTCATATGTATGTTTTAAAAACACAAATCTGCATTGTAGGCAAGTCAGACATAGGTTTAACCTTTTACAGGAGTGAAAACTAAGGCTCAGAAAACAAGAGATTTTCCCAGAGTTAATTAACTAGTAAGTGATGGAGCCAGGAGAAAAACACAGACATTCTGACTAACCCAGTATTCTAAAAACAATGTAGGCTATAACATTACTTGATGAGGGAAAAGCTTCTGATCCTATTCATAGTGTGGAGAACATGGAAAATTGTTTCATAATATCCATGGATCCAAAGAATCACCCACTAAAGATAAAAGGTTCTTTTTCTGATAAATATAATCAATGGTGTGCTAGCAAGTGTTTAACAATCACTTCTCTTTGTGGGGGGAGGGGTGGTGTGGTGGGTCCAGATTTGTAGCATTTGCCAATTTCCATGATGTAAATACTCCCAGTGTGGCTGATTTTAAGCTATCAATGTTTCATCACTGAACACAATGTTGGGAAGGGGTTACACAATCGGCTCTCATGAGACTGTACAAACCACTTCAGCACACCACTGAATCTACACAATCTTACAATTCTATCTAATGGATGACATCTTTCATAATGGCTAGACAGCATTTCTAGCTAACATTTAAGCACTTATCACGTGTCAGACACTGTTCTAAGCACTTTACATACATGAACTTATTTTATCCTCACAACAATCCCATGAAGTGGCTTCTATTATCCTCAGCTTACTGATGTGGAAACTAAGACACAGATAGTTTACTTAACTTGACCAAAGTCGCAAAGTTAATAAATATTACAGCAAGGATGCAAACACAAGACTCTAGCTCCAGAGCCCATGCTCTAAACTCAGTGCTATCCTACTTCTAAATAATAATTGTGTCCAGATTGGGTGTACATAATGATAAAAAAAGTCAGCCAACTACTAAGCACTTACTAATCCAGGCAGACAGTTCACATTCAGTACCGTTAATCTTTACATAACACAGCATCATCCTTTCACACCTTCAGGGATAACCATCTAGATTAATATCTGGGAAGAACAGAGATTGCCAAATGTCTGCCTCTGAGTCTTCCGTATGGCCATGATGATTTCTTCTCGCCTCTCCCCTTTGCTCCAAGTTTCCTGCTGGCCACTGAACAGAACTGGATCATAGCCTCCCTGAACTAGTGATGCAGTGAACTGGGGTAAGTCAAACCTCTTGATACTCTCTGCTCCCCTTAGTCACAAAACACTTCCAAGTCAGGCTGTGCAGAAAGGCTGTGATTCATGGTCCCATTCCAGGCACTAATTGTAGAGGTTGTAAGAGAAGGGGCAGATCCCAAGCACTCCCTCCTTGCCGGTGAA